CTTCGTATTTTTCCAGAAGAACTGAAATCATCATACCACAGCAATACATGTGCACCTATGTTTCTAGCAGTGCAATTTGTAATAGCAAAATTTTGAAAACAACCCAAATGTCCACCAACTGAGAAATGGATAAAAAAGATGGGATATTTTCATACAGTGGAGTATTACTTAGCTATAAAGAAAGATAAACTAGAGACTTTTATAGGTAAATGGATGCAACTAGAGACCATATTCATTAGTGAAATAAATCAGATTCACATGTGCAAATATCATATTTCCTCCCTACTATAAGAACCTGAAAGAGTAAATAAAATCTGAAAGGTACAATAGATATTGTGAAAGGGAAAAGAAACTGCTCAAATAGGAAGGAGTAACTGGGATGAAGGAAGAAGAGGAAAAAGAAAGAAGGAAGAGGGAAAAATTATGTATATATACACACAGGATAGCTGGGATAATTGTACTACTCATATCTATTGGTTTATTGACGGGAACTGTTAATGTGTAATGGTTTGATTAATCTTGCATGCCTATATCTGGTTATAAGTGTAACCATTTTGAAGATGACATTGTGTAGTATAACAACCATTGCTAATATCCTATCACCATGTTTTGAAATTCTGTATCATTTTTATTGCTCTCTATGCTCTTTTACGTATTTGTTTTTGTTATGTTGGTTTTTTTAAATGAAAAACAAAATTTATATGTATATATAAGGATAGCTGGGATAGGTGTATTGCTGATGTATGTGGTTTATTTAGAGGAACAGTCAATGCTTAAAATTTTCCTTTTTCTAAAACAAGCTTTTTAAAAAACTGAGAAAATATAAATGACTGCATTGTTTGCTTTTGAAGGATTGCTTGTGACATCTGAAAGTCCACCTTGTCTTTTAAAACCACACTGTATTCAGAGAAAATCATTATCTGATCGTGGAGGAGCCAAGGAGCACACACGACGGCACTTATAAACTGTCAGCTAAGGGGTCTTCAGCCTACTTCGGTTAGGGTTAGGTGTGCATCCAGGGGGGCTTCACTGAAATACTTCAAGTGGGTTATGATTTTACACTTGAGTAAAATTAACGATCCATGGAGGTAGTGTTCTTTTCATTTATTGGTAAGTAGAGCTTTTGGTAAATGGTTCTTTCTCTAAAAGAATTTTTGTCAACAAAGGATATTCAAACTGTGGCTGGATCAGACCTTCAGAGGTTTGTTTGCAAAGGTCTCGGCAAGTGTGTCAGCCTTTATAGGCCGTAAGGTCGCAGTTCTGCTGCCGGAGCATGAAACAGTCATAAAGAATATACAGACACGTGGTCATACAGGTATATGGTTTAATAAATCAGCCCTTTCAGAATACAGTAGATATAATTATCGTATAATAAATGTTTAAATAAAGATGTCTTTGTGACATCTTTCAAATTCCTTATAATCAGCAGCAACAGAAACCAGTTTAATACCTTTTGGTTATGGAAGCAATCATTTTCTTTTTTTGCTGCAGCCGATGTCTCAGGCACTTTATTTGACACAAGACATAATATCTGACATTTACAACTTAAAGGAGAGAAGACGCACTTGGGCTTATGGTTTTCAGAGGCTTTGGTCCATAGCTGACTGGCTCCAAGGCAAAACTGGCGTCGTGGAAGGGTCTGGCAGAGGAAAAGCGACTCACACCATGGTAGGAAGTAGAAAGACCAGGGAAGCAGGAAGGGAGATACGTCCTCCCGAACATTCCCTTAGGGACCCAACTACCAACAACACACGCAGCCCTGGCTTCACAGTGGGTGAATCCACAGATGAGTGTAACGTTTCCATGATCCAACTACCCTCTCTAAAAGCCCCACCTCTAACAGCGCGAGAGTTTTCAAGGACATTCCAGATGCAAAACTGTAACAACCAGCTTGAGCTGGGTTTCTGATCACTGCAACCCCGAGGGTCCTGAGTACCTAAAGCACATTCTGGACGGTACTTTCCCCAGCAGTCACTATCACAAGGGTCAAAATCTGACATGCGTGCATTAAATTACATGTATCCCAAGTGCACTTCTAACAAGCTTATGGAAAGCGGAGGGAACCAAATAAAAAAGGAAATGATGCAAGTTTTATGAATTCAAAGATTCATTGTAGATTTCTGGCAGTCCATGTCACAGGCTAGCCTGCTGTCTTACTGTTCTATTTTATTGAACCTACAGCCAGTGATTAGTGGTCAAATAGTCTTAGCTTTCTGAATCTGTTCTAGTTGGTAACAACTACTCCATTCCATACCAAATTATTGAGTAGATCAAAGGAAACCAGAATAGTCTTATTTAACTGTGCATTTCATTCATTTTAGCTGCTATGAAATAAATAATGCTTACTTGAGAAAACAGAGTTCAACAGAGGACAAGTGTGTGATAATCACCCAATAAACTAATCAAATCATAAGTGATGAAAAACTAAAACAGAAGGCAAAATAGCCAGCACAGCAAGTAAAGTCAGTGTTGAAAGACAGAGAGGAGTGCTCTGGCAGATCTTTTGCACTGAAGTTAATGTGCACTATCACATCTCACTAAAAGAAAGTTTGAGGGAAAGCTAGGGAGGGCTAATACAAAGGAGATTTTAAGATATAAATGATCTGCTAATTGTATATGCCTAGAGTTTCATAGCTTTTATGTATAATGCCATGCCACTAACAAACCCTGAAGCAGGTACCTGTAGGAAGAGATACAACACCAGTAGACATACAGTGACACCTCAGTTCATGAACTTACTTTGTTCTACAATTTTGGAAAGGGTGGCCATGCTTCTGTTTGTGTAGGAAAGATGGCCGTAGTCATGTTTGTTCCCCAATAGATCTTGTAAACAAAAACCAAATTTTGCCAAATGCTTCTATTTGCAAACCGGATTATTTGCAAACAAAAATGTTTGTGAACCAAGGTAGCACTGTAATTGTCAAGAGAACTTTTAGTTTTATTTGTATTCTTTCATCTTTTATAACAATATGTTATTCACAAAAACTTCGGTGCAG